CGCGAGGGGAGATTTGGATGCAGCTCGCAGTAAGGGTTGATACTTACTTGGGGAGGCAGAGGCAGGAGGCACATCTCCCTGTTGTTACTCCCAACAGCCAGAGGAGTCTGCCTGGTCTTTGAGGCCCAGACCTTAGGCTTTGATGCAGAGAAGGATTTCAGGACTGGCCAGCTTATGAAGCAGATATGGAGTTGATTAATATTTCCATGTAAACTTAAGCACAAGGCTTGAGAAAAAAAGGAGAAGCACTCAGAAGAAAGTAAGACACACCCAGGAGAACAGTGTGGACTTCTCAGAGAGGAGTCGCAGGAAATGTGGCTCTCCCTTGAGTAATTTTACAAAACTCACGTATTGGATTGGTGGGGGGCGGTGTTTGAAGCTACTGTCTTTAAAGAGTGGCTGAGAAGCCTAAATGAGCTCATAGGGTGGTTCCTGGGGGGCACTGCACAAGATTACAGTTGACAAGGTCCCCAAGACACAGGAAAGTAGGACATCTTTACTGCAAAGTTAATGGTCCTTTTTGAAAAATCCCAGGAGATGTCTAGGGAAAGGTATTCAGGCCTTAAGCCTGACACATTGTTATCTGAACATAAAATATCTGTATATGAAAATATTAACTGTATGCCTGCAGCCTTTGCAGGGAATGTTAATTAATTCCATAGAAGTTGTGTTTCTTCACTGGTGAGAGGCTTCAGTCTGACTCCGGAGTTGGAGGTTCTTCTCCCGTCCCGTGTCTCCATCATGTCCCCTTCTTTCTCTCTTGCCTCAGCAGGACAGCTGCACCTGCTGAAGTGAGGTGACCATATACCTGGAAAGCCTCCTAGAGCTGCTGACAACTGGCAATAGCAATGAGTTGGGGAGTTGGGGGCGGGGGGGGGGTGCTTGGACAGCCACAAATACAGAAAACTCTATTATCCTAAGTGGATGCTCACAAAAGGCTGGCAAACCCTAAGCCAGCATCCCTTACAGTGCAGGCCTATGGGAGGAACCAGCTGCTGGGGGTTCCCTCCAGGTGACATGAAATCCAGGCCAGGTTATTCTTCTGTATCTCCTGAAACAAGAAGTTTCCTGGGGTGAGGAGTATGGGCATGTATGAGGGATATTGGGTCCAAGACTGCAGATGTTGAGGAGGTCAAAACCCCTGAGAGGGTTACATCCCCAAACATAGGGTACTGCCTAAGATTGGGATGGGTCCTATAAACAGACTGTCCCCCTGCCTCCCACTACCATGCAAACAGGCATCTAGTAGTGACTATAGTGCAGTACTGCTCAGAATGTGGGGAAAGGGTCCTCTGGCCAGTGCGTCACAGAGGGGACGGACCTATGCCAAGGACAGAGAAGCTCTTTGGAAAATAATTAGCCTCCACTTTAAACATGGTGTTTCAAGAGAAATTTTAAAAATGATCCACACGTGGTAACCATAGCAGCAAAAGATGTGAACATCAGCAGACTGCCTAAGACTTGACAAAAAGCCAAACTGAAGGTCTAGCAAAGCAAAGGCAGCTTTCAGATACCGAAATCCTCAGCACCTATTGACAACACAACGTGTAGACTTTAACAAAACCGTCACACAAGGGGAAATGAAAGGGGCGTCAAGAAACGAGGCACCAAACAGACGAGACTCCGAGGGACAGATGCTGGGACCAGCCAATTGGTCCCAACTTGTTTCCAAACAATGCTTTTTAAACAACTTTTTTGGTGCTTAAAAGTCCAAGTGGGAAAAAGGGAAAGCATGTCTGGTGGAGAACTCCTGTAATAAGACAGAAACTTTCAGAATGACCAGTGACCAGGCTAGAAAGGACACAGATACATCCAGAATAGGGAGAGCCCTTGGTGAGAGTGCTAGTTTGTTTTCTACCCACTTGATCCAAGCTAGAGTTGTTTGGGAAGGGCGAGCTTCAACTGAGAAAAGTCACTCCGCCAGATTGGCCCATGGGCAAGCCTATGGCATTTTTTTTTTTTTTTTTGGTTGATGATTAATGTGGGAAAGTCCAGCTCGCTGGGTGGTGGCACCCTCAGGCTTGTGGTCCTGGGTGCTATATGAAAGCAGGCTGAGCAAACCATGGGAGCCAGCCCAGTAAACAGCACCCCTTCATGGTTCCTGCTTCAGGGTCTGTCTACGATTCCTGCCCTGACTTTGCTGGATGATAAACTGTAGCTGTACGAGGAAATCAACCCTTTCCTCCCCAACTTGCTTTTGATCATGGTGTTTTATTGTAGCAATAGAAATCCAGACAGAAATCAGTAGATATTGCCATGATGGACCTGACCATGTTTTGAGGAGGACTGTGGAAGGACTTGGAGACATTGGGCTAGAAAAGCCAGTGAGTGCTCAGAGTTTAATGAGCTGTCTGGGAACTTGGTCGATGACACTTAGAACAGTGCAATCGAGGCCTGGCCTTTGAAGTTTCATAGGGAAGTTTGAAAGATTCCCTTCAAGAATCTCAGGCTGTTCAATATTTTGAACAACAATTTGGAGCTCTGGTGAGCTGAAGCTAAAGAACCAGCTGTGGTTAAGAAGAGACCAGCATCACTAAGGCAAACTCTTTGGCAAAGTGTTTCTCAAGGGCAGCACACAGATGCTGTGGGACAGAGGGACCATAGCTGTCCTTTGTGCTGACAGCTTAACTCTGTGTATCTAAGAGTCCCTCAGATGGTCCTGGATTTGAAGGCATGAAGAGGTCATGGAGATCAGCTTGGCACCAGGCAGGACAGGCCATCAGTGAAGATGCAGCCTCAGTTGGAATAGAAGCCTCAAGTGTGAAGAGATCATGGAGAGAAGTTAAGGCTTGGTACCATGTAGCAGGGTCAAAGTTCCTGAAGAGATTCCAGGAGAGGCCATTGCTGAAGGTGCAGCCCAGGTGCAGAGACTCCAGCAATTTGGAAACGCCAGTACTGTGGGATGACCTCTGAGGACAACAGCAGGTGTGGAGTGCAGATAACTGGAGCTGGTGAGGCAAGCTGAGTGTGTTATGAATGGTGAAGCCAGAGAAATACAACTCTCCAAGCCCTTTGGAGCCCAAAAGATCCTTTCTGAATGCCAGACATTAGACACTGAGTTATTGACACTTTCGGAGTTTAGTTTTGCATTGTTCATATTGTGACTGTGCCCTGGTTATTCCTTCTTGGAATACAAAAAAAATTATTTAACTTGTTTTTTGATTTTACAGGAACCCATGTTCTGGACATCTTAGAGAAACTTTGGAGTTGTACAGATATTTTGGAGTTTTAGAAAGACTTTGAATATTTCAGAGAGACTGAATATTTTAAAAAGACTCTGGGGATTTTAGAGAGACTTGATGTTTTAGAGAAACTTTGAACCTTGGCAGAGACTTTGGGTATTTTAAAGAAGCTAAATTTTTAAGATGTTTGAATTTTTAAAGTATGTGGGACTTTCAAAGGCTGGAATGTGTTGTTTTATATTGAGGCATTGATACTAATGTCTCAAGGAGATCTTGGGATAAATAAGAAAGGGAAGGTTATAGTTCAATAAAAATGTGTTCATTGTGTCAAGTTCACAAGAGATCAATTGTGCTCGTTAGTTTTTTTTGAATCAACTTGACACACGCTAGAGTTATTTGGAAAAAGAGAACCATAGTTAAGAAAAAAAAAATCACCCACCAGAATGGCCCATAGGCAAGCCTGTGGGTATTTTCTTCATTGATAATTGATATGGGAGGGCCTAACTCACTGTGGATAGTGGCACCCGTGGGCTGGTAGTCCTGGGAGCTATAAGAAAGCTGCTCTCATTTTTAGCAGCTCTTTAGAGAGGGATGGATAAATATTTGGAGATCATCTTCCACTTTTAAGACAAAGTATTCAGGTGGGTGCTGTGGTCTGTCAACAGTTTTTCCTATAAGAAAGCTCCTTTGCAATTCGAAAAAGAAAAAGAAAACAGGAAAGAAAGGGATTCTGTGATTACTGTTTCCTTGTCATACAAGATGTACCCCACAATGTGCACCTAGAAATGCCACCCCACATTCTACTCCGTAACTTAATTCTGTTCGTGTTTAATGCCATGCCCACATACCACTTTCAAAGCCTCACAGAATGGGACTCCATGTTTCATCCAACGGGACTTCATGTTTTACCATGTTTACCACATTGGTAAACAGTGTCCTGCATGTTTCTCTGGAATTCCTCATGGAGCTTCTCAGTTCATACGTCCATCCTGCCTCTCTTACTTACAGCATGTGCAGTAAGTAATGATGAGGAGCATTTCCACCGTGAGCGTTTCTTAAACACTTACTCTTTCTGTGAGTCTTCAAGCCCCTCTTCTCGTTCTATGTAAAACATATAATAAATTGTTGTAACTACAGCCGCTGCTGTGCTGTGGAACTCTAGAACTTCTCCTGTCTAATTATTTTGGCACATTAGTTTCTATGTGTTTCTCACCTCCTCTCCCCCCCACCCCAGGACAATTATTTTAAAACCCTTTACTTAAGTCAGATAAAATCTTTTAACTTCTACATATGAATGATTACATGAGGCATTTGCCTTGTGGTATTTGATTTATTTCACTTAATGTAATGGCCCCCAGCTCCATCTACATTGTGACAAATGACAAAATTCTATTCTTTATGGAAACACAATATTCCATCCTTTAAAAAAATCCATCTGTCAGCCGGGTGGTGGTGGCGCATGCCTTTAATCCCAGCACTCCAGAGGCAGAAGCAGGCGGATCTCTGTGAGTTTGAGGCCAGCCTGGTCTACAAAGTGAGTTCCAGGAAAGGCGCAAAGCTACACAGAGAAACCCTGTCTAAAAAAACTAAAAAAAAAAAAAATCCATCTGTCTAATGATAAGGACTGTGGTTAAATCCATATCTTGGCCATCACATTTTCCTCTGAAATCCCACAAATACAAAACCCCATATGCACTTAGTTCTAGGAGTATTAATTCTTTTCTTCGATATTTCTGGCTTGTGTATGTGAGGACACTCATGAAACTCCCAGGCGACTCTCTCTCACCCCCTGCCCCCCCACCTGTTCTCCTGCTGCAGAAAGCAGCCTCCAAGAAATACTCCCAGTTCAGCACCGACGTGGCCGAGGCCATGGCCTTCTTCGACTCCATCATCGCAGAGCTAGAGACAGAAAAACGGCCGAGGACTGCTGAGGTTGACCTGCCTAATGAAGATGTGGACTTTGATGGTGAGTGCCAGGAGGGGAGGTGCGGCTGTGAGTGGGCTCCGGGGATGGCATCAGGACCACACCTTCTTTTCTGAAAAGAACTCCCTCACTGTCACGACAGGCTGGATCCCGGGACCTTGTCTCAGTCGCCCTGGCTGCCACTGCCCCAGCCTGCACCTGTGGTGTTTTTTATTTTATTTTATTTTTTTACTGCAGCTGCCAGGGTGGGACCCCTAACACTCCGTGAGGGAAAGCGAGAGGAAATGGCTAAGGAGAGAAGCTGTCAGTGGGAATGTTGTCATACAGGGGGATGGTTCTGTTTTGCAAGATGCAAACAAAATTCTGGAATGTGAACATTCTTAATACTACCTAATACTACCTTAATACTACCTAATACTACCTCAATACTACCTAATACTACCTCAAAGGACTAAAACAGGCCGGCCATGATGGTGCACACCTTTAATCCCAGCAACTGGAAGGGTAAACCCTTTTGGAGGACAGACAAGAGTTTGGAGGCCAGTCTGGGCTGCCTAAGGAGACTTTATTTAAAAAAGCCAAAACTCAGGGCCTAAATATATGACTCAGTCTATAATGTGCTTGCCTCAAAAGTATGAGGACCAGAGTTCAGTCCCCAGCAGCCAGGTATGTGTAATGGTGTGAGCCTATAATCTCAGTGCTTAAGAGACAGAAACTGGAGGATCTCTGGGCCTTGCTGTCCAGACAGGCTGGCTGAAACAGTGAGCAGGATAGTGAGAGACCCCCTCCTTTTTTTTAAACAAACAAACAAACAAACAAACAAACAAACAACAACAAAAACAGGGTTATGATAAATTGAGGAAGGCATACTCAAAACTAAATAAAAACAACAAAGCCCCAACCAAAACTACGTAGTGAGGCCCTGTCTCAAAAGGAAAAAAGGAAAAGCAAAAGAAAAAAACCAAAGGCCAGTGTTGTGTGACTTCTCCTGGGGAGACCTAACACAAATATGTCTACTTACCCTGGAGGCTAGGGCCCAGACAGATCACCCAGGACAGACCACAGTAACTATTGCACAGATGTCCACATTGGTGAAGCAATGAATTTTTACTGAGGTGATGAACAGGAGGATGGGGAGGGGTTACTTACAAAGAGCAGGGGTAACTCAAAAGCAGCTGCGTTGCCAGGAAGGCCACCCCAACACAGGCGACCACCTGTGAGCGCTGACAGCCTGCAGCACCCCAGGTCCCCCGTCTTTTTCTCTGAAGTTTGGCTGCTCAGAGTCTCCACCCCAGCACCTGTTTACAGTTATACAAACTATAAAGATATAGAAATTATAAGTGCTTATAGTCCTTTCCACAGTGTTGGGTAGGGGACCTCCAGAGTCTTCCAAGCTTTTGTTCTGACACTTGTGACCTCTTAGTGACCTATTGTTCACTGATGCTGGTGAGCACCTCCCTCCCCCAGGACATGCAGAGGGAGGGGTTGCAATTGGGAGGAATGAGCCATGCCTGGGCTTAATGGCAAAAGTGCTTGAGCCTGGAAAAACTGAATTCACTTCCGGAGAGAACTCGGGAAGGTTGTCCTCTGACACCCCCCCGACCCAGGTGGCCCTGCTCTCACAGAGGACCAGAGTTTGGTACCCAGCTCCCACACTGGGCTCCTGTAATTCTAGCTTCAGGGGATTCAACACTGTCTTCTGGCCTCTGACAGTGCCTACACTCGTGTGCACACAATTAAAATTAAAAGCCAATTAGAAAAAAGAAACTTAAAGACAGATACCATCTGTAGGTCAGGGCCACTGTTAACACTTGGGCATATGACTTTCTTAGAGGGTTTTCAACACACTCAGATTTTATTTATATTTTACTTTTAGCAAAAACGGAATCTCTTTGAACAATAATGCCATACATTGGGGCATCCTTCCGGAGTCAGGAGTCAATGAGCACAGCTCTTGGCGCTGTCCCAGCCCTGGGCTTTGCTGAGTCTGACTCCACCCCCCAGACCCCCCGCAGCCTCCTGCAGAAGTCACGGCAGTGAGCCTGTCTTTCCTTGCCGTGGATCCCCCACCTGTCCGTGCTCTCCTTTACCTTCTGCTCCCCCGATAGTGGCCAGCTGCCCAGGTCACTTGCTTCTCTCTTCCAGTGGCGACCAGTTCACAGGAGCACAGCTTGCACTCCAACTGGATTCTGCGGGCGCCGCGCAGACATTCTGAGGCCATCGCTGCTCACGCCACTGCAGACAGCCGGTTTCGAAGGAGCACGGAACACAAGGTCACGGGCACCCAGAGGAGGCTTGAGAGACACCCCATTTACCTGCCAAAGGCTGTGGAAGGGGCATTCAACACCCTGAAATTTAAGCCCAAAGCCCACAAAAAAGAGTAAGTGCGTGGACTTAACAGAACCGAGACAGTCTCAATGTGCTCCCGACTCATGGGGTGCTCCAGACTTAGTGTGTGTTGGTCCCTCACCCCGTGTGCAAAAGTTGTTGATTTTATGGGGGATGGGGCTTGGCTGAGATGTTTTCCCACGGTCTGTACTCCAGCAGCCTGGCTCACTGCTGTCCTCCATTCTGACCTTGTTCCCCAACCCTGCCTGCCGGCTTCCTCTCTGGTCCGCTGCTTACACCTTCTGCAGCTCTCCAGTGACAGCTTGGAATGTACAGACAGAGCAGCAAGCAGCATTATGCTGAGATACTGTCGCCTTGGAAGGCATTGGCCAGCCTCTGCTCTGCAGAGCAGGACTTCCTGCTGGTCTGGCCCCTGTGGGGACATACTGCCACTGGCTCCTGTGACCTCTCTGCTGCCAGACCCTTGTCTCTCAAGACTAGTTCCCATGACCAACTCCCACATCCCCCTTGCCTTGTGCAGGGCAACCACTCAGGCCCATGCCACAGGACACGAGGGCCTGTTCAGACTCCGTGACTGCCCCTTTACCTCTTCACAAGTCACTCAACTCTGGTAGATCCAGGGTTTCCTTGATAGCATTTTACTCCTACAGTAATAAGCCATGTGCTCAACATAGTGAAGCCATGGCCCAGTCCTCATCCTTGACCTTCTCCTTCGAGGCCAGGTCAAAGCCCACTGAAGTCTACCCGCACCCCACCCCGTATCACTTTAAGGCCTGGAACTGGTTGGGGGGCAACCTGATGTCCTCAGCAGAAATGGTGGTAATTTCTCTGTGTGGCGGCCAGCTTGAGCCTGACATCTCCCTCACCCTTCCCTTGCAGCCTGGGGAGCTCCAGACAGATCCTCCGCAGCTTCTCCAGAGAAGACTTGGAGTGGGATGAGGAGTTCTTTGCACAGGAGTCCCCCGGCTCTTTGGAGGAGGATCATTTTGAGGCAGAGCATCCCAAAGGGCAATGGCTGATTCGAGAAAGACTCTGGGAACGGACAGTGTCCTGACTTGACTTGTCTCAGCTTGGGTCTTTGTCAGGTGGTCTGCTTTTGGGCAGTGTGAGGTGTTCGGTAGAGGTAAAAGTGAAATGATAAACTTGTAACACAACCAAACTCCAACACTGCCCAGCCAGTGCCAAAAAGAGCCCGAGCTTCCCAGGGGACATGTCCTGGGGGATTCAGAGACTGGGCGCTTCCCACAGCCGTGGACAGGAGAGAAGGGAAGGAGAGCTGGCTGCTGGTATCCCAGAGCTGAGGCACAGAGGCCTTGAATGAGTGACCCTGCCACCCTGCCTTGCCTGGCATACACAGACGATGGCATAAATGGCTGCATATAATGTGCTCAGAACTGGAAAGCAGCCACTCTGGAGTTCCGGCCTAAAGTCTCCAAGGATGTGTCTCAGAAGCCCAATGGGCAAGTCCTGAGGTCACCTCCATCCATGCAGAATGCAGTCAAGAAGGCAGCCCCTTCTGCTCTAGGTCTTTCTGGGGTTTTCAGAAACTCTGCTGCTAGGTTAGCCTGAAAACGGGGCCAGTATCCAGGCAGTAGGGTAGAGAATGGTTCTGTCAGGCTTGCCTTGTGATCACACTCTTGCCCAGAGCTCCTGCACACAGAAGGCTGGCTCAAGGAGGTGGAGGTAGGCGGGTCTTTCTCCTTTCTGACTCACACAAATAAAGCTGTATCCATGCAAGCAGCCCATGACAGGCTCTGCACCTCCCACTTACAGGTAGCTAGAAGCATAATGTTCTTTCTGTGTAGGAAGAATTTTTGTAGTTCAGACATTGTTTGTGAAGGGACACTAGCCCACTTGAGCATGGCTCTGGCAGGCCTTGCCCTTCCCCTATTCCCTCAGCCTTGCTAGAAACGGTTAGACTACATTCCTAAAGCTAGCCACCAAGTCCATTCCCTTCCTTGGCCACTCCCTCCTCCTGAGGCTGACTACTAAGGTCCAGCAATCAAAAGTCCCCTTGGCCCACCTAATTAACGTGCCCAGTCAAAATCAAACACCTCACCCTAACACAGGGCCTTCCCCTCTACCTTTATAAAATGTCATTTTCTTATGTGCCACATCTGTCTCCCCTCTATCCAGAGACAGTCCTTTGCTGTCAACCCCCACCCACCATCTGGGACAAATACCCTCCCCCCTCCGTATTCCCTTTTCCCTCTTCCTCTGTCTCCTGTCTTTGTCTCTTATTCCCTGCCCTCTGTCCCACTGCGGCACATACATCTCCTTTGTGTCGAGCACTTGGCCTTGGGGGTCTTGAGCTGCCACTTTCCCTTTCAGTCTGAGCTCTCAGCTCCGCTTTCAATGTGTGCCTTGTGCACAATCCAGCAGACACTCTTCATCTGGCCACAGAGCTGCACCCAGTTAAGTTTTAGGGCCACCGGTTACAGAAGACTCTACACGTTGACCTTCCTGCTTTTTATCTTATCCAAATACCAGCCAGGTGTCATACTTTTCTATTGTCATGATGAGACATCATGACCAAGGCAACTTACAGGAGAAAGAATTCATTTGGAGCTTACAGCTCCAGAGGTTGAATCCATGACCACCATGATAGGGAGCAATGGCAGCAGGCAGGCAGGCACGGTGCTGGAGCAGTAGCTGAGAGTTCTCATCTTGAGACAACCACAGGACAGAGTGGGAGCAAGAGTGAGAGTGAGAGCTGGGTGGGGGATGGGGGTGGGGGAGGTGGGAACAGGAGAAGAAGCTCCTGTTAGGGAATAGTTTCTGCTTTAGAAACCTCAAAGCTGCCCCCAGTGACACACCTCCTCCAACAAGGCCACACCTCCTAATCCTTCCCAAACAGTTCCACCAACTGGGGGGCCCCAAGTATTCAAATATATGAGCCTATGGAGGCCATTCTCATTCAAACCACCACATAAGGCCTATACCTGCTTAACTTCTGAGAGAGCTGAGATCAGGTACACTGTGTGCATGTGTGCATGCCTGTGTGGGTGCCTGTGTGTGTGTGTGTGTGTGTGTGTGTGTGTGTGTGTGTGTACAGCAGTGATTCTTCAGGGAGCATGCCCATGAATGCTAGTCTGCCTGGGACAGGGAGGCAGACATAAAAAGAGAAGCATTATCTAAATCAAGCCAGGGATGCTCTAGGCTTCGTGGCCATGACAACTGCATAAAGGCCTGTGTGATGTTCTTTAAATTAAATAGTAGTAATAAAAACCTTTATTTCTGTGATCTCGGGTGTCTCAAGCTGAGAATCCTTAACTCAGAAGAGGAAAAATCAACAGCCACTGTGCAGCAGCCATAAGAACCTCAAGCCAACATGTTTCCTAGGAGAACCCAGAGTCACCCTCAGCGTCCTCCTCTCCAGTGTTTTGCAAGTGCCAATATCAATGTCAGAGCAGCGGGGAGGGTGGGCGGGCAAGGAGGAAGGGAGAAGTCGTTCACTTGTGACCTGATCAGAAAAACAATGTCTGGAGAGTTGTTTAATGGACAGCTTTCATGCTGTGGTCCATCTGCACAAATGTGTTCCCTGAACGTCACTTTCTTTCTCTGCTGGGAACACACTCGGGTGGGGGTGGGGAGTCTACTCAGCCTCACCAGGCAACAGTTTATTACAGGCCACCCTGATTTACCGTGGGCAACTCACTGTGTAAATCTTGTGCTTATAGATCTGAAAGGCAGCAGAATAGAGAAGATGCTCAGAGCCCACTATAACTTCTTCTTCTCTAGGGTTTCCTCTCTGCGGACACCAGGCTGTGCCGTTCCACTTCTCATGGGGTTTTGGATGCTTTTGTCTTTAGTAAAACCCAGCCTGACTGAGAAGTTCTAAGGGTTGAACTCATGTCTTATGGAGCGGCTTTTCTGTCTTTGAAGTTGGTGGTAAAACCCAGAAGCTGGGCTGTGGCTCACCAATCTTGGAGAGGAAATACAAGGATTTGAGATAAGTCAAACTGGAAATAATAAAGCCAATTTGGAAAACCAAGATGCTTTGACTGTTTTTTGTCCTTCTCAGGGTGATCAACTATTCAAGGGGGTCCGCTGGTCAAAACTGTCTTAGCTTGGGTACATAAAAACCTGCAAAAATGGAATGCCAAAGGCGAGGGGTGTATAATGACGCCTTAGTCATTGAAGTTCTCGCCTTGCAAGCATGAAGATCCAAGTTCAATCCCTAAAACCCATGATAAAATTATTTTTAAGTAGAATACAATTTCTAAAAGCCAGGTTTGGTGGCACACACTTGTAACCCCAGCACTAGAAGGGCAGAGGCATGTGGAACTTTGGGACTCCTGTAGTCCCTTAGCCTAACCTACTGGTGAGCTCCAGACCAGTAAAAGATCCTGACTCAGACAAAAAGCAAGGTCGATGGTACCTGAGGAAAGACACCTGAGATTGTCCTCTGGCCCTTACGCACACATATGTGCACACACACACATGCACATGTGTGCATACACATGGGCACATATGTGCAGGTGTGCACATACCTAAACACATATACATATAAATGCACAAGAAAAAAGGAAGGAAATGGAAGAAAGAAAGAGGAAGAAAGAAAGAAAGAGAGAGAGAAAGAAAGAGAGAAAGAGAGAAAGAAAGAAAGAAAGAAAGAAAGAAAGAAAGAAAGAAAGAAAGAAAGAAAGAAAGAAAGA